TGGAATATATTCAAGTATGCATGTAAATAATGGCTAAATTACTAAGTATTTTGCCTATTATCACTCCCCCTGGTTCTAGACGCCGTGGTAGAGGCCGGGGGAGGGCACCTACACGAGGTAGGGGATTAGGGCACCCCAGAGCTATCCCAGTCACACCACCAGCAAATCCCGTTATGGACCCGATTATTGAGGAGCAGGACGAGATACCTGCAGCTGAGCAAGCCCCGGTTGATTTTATGACAGCACCGGGCTTTCAGGAGGTTATGGGCGGTATGCTTCGGTTCATGGATTCGATGACTCAGGCTAGTTTATTTCCAGCAAATCCGGCCACTTCTCAGGTAGGAAGGGAGCACAGACCCCTACTACTCAGGCCCCAGGCCATGCCGCTACCTTATATCAGACTCCGAGTGCACTACCCGCGGATAGGGCTCAGCCAGTTGCCGCTCAGGCACCCCAACCCATGCCAGCTATGGACGGTGATCCGCAGAAGCTATTAGATAGATGGACTAGACTTCGCCCTCCAGTCTTCGGGGTTGAGCGCCATAAGGATGCTCAGGATTTTATTGAGAGGTGCAGAGGCAGACTGCACAATATGAGGATACTAGAGACGCAAAGGGTTGACTTAACCACTTTCCAGTTAGAGGGCAGGGCCCGCAGATGGTGGAAGTCTTATGCTCTCAGCAGGCCAGCAGGTTCTCCTCCCCTCACTTGGGGTCAATTTGCCTAGTTGGTCTTTGACAGGTATATTCCACCCTCTGAGAGGGAAGAGCTGCGGTATCAGTTTGAGCATCTGGAGTAGGGTCAGATGTCAGTGATAGATTATGAGGCGAGATTCTCTGAGTTATCCCGCCATGCACTTATGATACTTCCTACAGACGCAGAGAGAGTGTAGAGGTTTGTCTCAGGGTTGCAGCCTGGTATCAGGAACAACATGGCTCGAGAGGTGGAGATGGGCACAAAGTATCAGTTAGTGGTTGAGATTGCTCGTCGTATTGAGGGGTACCGCCAAAGGGGCAGAGAGCAGGTTCAGTAGGATAAGAGAGCGAGGTACTTTGGAGAGTTTAGAGGGGCCCCAGCTAGGGGAAGAGGTCAGTATAAGAGGGGTCAGCCCAGTAGGCCCCCGGTTCCAGTACCACAGCCTCCTGCCCGAGGAGCTCCAGCTCGTCCCTATTTTAGGGCTATGCTAGAGAGTTCTTATCGCCCGCCAGCTATTCAGGGTTCATCCAGCGAGTATTCAGGTCCTCAGGGTCCCTTCAGATCTTATTTCAGCGCCATATCGGAGAGTGCATATCGCCCACCGGCCCTTACGGTTCCTTCTAGCAATTCTACTGGTTTTCAGGGTCAGTCTTCAGGGCAGCGGCTGTCGGGCCACGTTGCTATGAGTGTAGAGATCCTAGTCACCTGAGGAGGACTTGTCCCAGGCTTCGGGGCAAGGTAGTTCAGCAGAGGCAACAGTCTACAGCTCCATCGCCAGCGGCCCAAACACCTAGAGGTGGAGGGCAGATAGGTAGAGGTGGTCCCAGAGGTGGGGGCCAGGCAGGGAGAGGCCATCTAGCTACTTCTCAGACAGGTGGAGCCCAGTCAGCCGGTACCTCAGCCAGATTCTATGCTCTTCAGGCCTGGCAAGATGTATTGGCCTCAGATGCCATCATCACAGGTACTATTTCAGTCAGCGGTAGGGGTGCTTCGGTACTGTTTGACTCAGGATCTACTTATTCTTATGTTTCCTCTCTATTTGCTCATTTTCTGGTTGTTTCACCTGAGCCCTTGGGTGTTCTTATTTATGTGTCCACTCCTGTTGGTGATTGTGTAGTTGTGAATCGGGTCTACCGGTCTTGTGTGGTTACCTTCTGTGGTCGCGATACTAGAGCAGATCTTTTATTACTTGATATGATCGATTATGAGGTTATCTTGGGCATGTATTGGTTATCTCCCCATCACGCCGTCCTTGATTGTCATGCCAAGTCTGTTTCTCTGGCGATGCCAAGATTGCCTTGGTTTGAGTGGAAGGGCTCTACAGTTGATACGCCGAGCAGGGTTATTTCTTTTCTGAAGGCTCAGCGCATGGTTGAGAAAGGGTGTTTGGCTTATTTAGCATATGTTCGAGACACAACACCAGAGTCTTCGACGATCGATTCAGTGCTAGTGGTTCGAGAGTTAACCAATGTTTTTCCTTCTGATCTTCCAAGTATGCCTTCGGATTGTGATATTGATTTCTATATTGATTAGGCTCCAGGAACTCAGCCTATATATATTCCCCCGTACCGTATGGCTCCTAAGGAGCGGAAGGAGTTGAAGGAGCAGTTAAATGAGTTATCGGCCAAGGGTTTTGTCAGGCCTAGTATATCGCCATGGGGTGCACCAGTGTTGTTTGTGAAAAAGAAAGATGGGACTATGCGGATATGCATTGATTACCGCCAGTTGAACAGAGTCACCATCAAGAACAAGTACCTGTTGTCGCGTATTGATGACTTGTTTGACCAGCTACAGGGAGCTAGGGTGTTCTCTAAGATTGACTTGAGATCAGGGTATTATCAGCTGGGTATTCGGGATTCAAATGTCTTGAAGACCGCATTCAGGACTAGATACGGCCACTATAAGTTTTTTGTGATGTCCTTTGGGTTGACGAATGCTCCAGTGGCATTTATGGACTTGATGAACAAGGTATTCAGGCCTTCTATGGATTTTTTTATCATGGTCTCCATTGATGACATATTTATATACTCGCGTAGCCAGGGAGAGCACGAGCAGCATTTGAGAGTAGTGCTTCAGACCTTGTGGGAGCAGAGGCTATATGCTAAGTTCTCCAAATGCGAGTTCTGGCTTGAGTCGGTAGCTTTCTTGGGGCATATTGTGTCAGGAGAGGGTATTAAGGTGGATCCTCAAAAGATCGAGGTAGTTCAGAGTTGGCCTCGTCCTACTTCAGTGACCGAGATCAGGAGTTTCCTGGGGTTGGCAGGTTACTAATAGCGATTTGTGCAGAGATTTTCATCTATTGCTTCACCCTTGACTAGACTAACTCAGAAGGGTGTTCCATTCCATTCGTCCGATGAGTGCGAGGAGATCTTCCAGAAGCTCAAAACGACTTTAACTACTGCACAGGTTCTTGTGTTGCCTTCCAGATCAGGGATGTATACTGTACATTGCGATGCTTCTCGCATTGGCTTGGGATGTGTATTGATGTAGGAGGGGCGAGTTATTGCCTATGCTTCACGTCAGTTGAAGATTCATGAGAAGAATTACCAGTGCACGATCTAGAGTTGGCAATGATTGTTCATGCTCTTAAGATATGAAGGCATTATTTGTATGGGGTGTCATGTGAGGTGTATACCGATCATCGCAATTTGCAGCACCTGTTCAAGCAGAAGGACCTTAATTTGAGGCAGCGCAAGTGGCTTGAGTTACTGAAGGACTACGACATTACCATTATTTATCATCCAGGCAAGGCAAATGTAGTCGCGGATGCCTTGAGCAGAAAGGCGGAGAGCATGGGTAGCTTGGCATTCATTCCTGCTGAGGAAAGACCATTGTCGTTGGACATTCAGTCCTTGGCTAACAGACTGGTGAGGTTAGATATTTCGGAGCCCGGCAGAGTTCTAGTATGTGTGGTGGCTCAATCTTCGCTATTGGGGCAGATTAAGGCTCGGCAGTTCGATGATCCGCATCTTACAGCCCTTAGGGAGACAATACTTCAGGGAGGAGCCAAAGAGGTCGCTATTGGCGAGGATGGTATGTTACGGCTTCAGGGCCATGTGTGTGTTCCTGACGTGGATTGCTTGAGAAGGAGGATTCTAGAGGAGGCCCACAGTTCGAGGTACTCCATTAATCCGGGTGCCATGAAGATGTACCGTGACTTGAGGCAGCATTAGTGGTGGCAGAGGATGAAGAAGGACATCGTAGAGTATGTATCTAGATGTCTAAATTTCCAGTAGGTCAAGTACGAGCACCAGAGGCTAGGAGGCCTACTCCAGCAGATGCCTATTCTAGAGTGGAAGTGGGAGCGCATCACTATGGACTTCGTGGTTGGGTTACCGTAGACTTTGCGAAAGGTCGATTCAGTTTGGGTTATTGTAGATAGGTTGACCAAGTCTGCTCATTTCATTCCAGTGGCGACCACCTATACAATGGAGAGGTATGCTCAGATTTATATTTGGGAGATAGTCCGGTTGCATGGTGTACCGGTTTCTTTTATATCAGACCGGGGCCCTCAGTTCACTTCCCAGTTTTGGAGAGCCGTTCAGAGTGGGTTAGGCACCAGTGTTCATTTCAGCACAACATTCCATCCTCAGACCGACGGGCAGTCGGAGCGGACAGTTCAGATTTTGGAGGACATGCTTAGCGCATGTGTTATTGATTTTGGAGGTCATTGGGACCAGTTCTTAACCTTAGCAGAATTTGCATACAACAGCAGCTATCAGGCCAGTATTGAGATGGCCCCCTAAGAGGCATTATATGGTTGGCGTTGTCGTTCTCATATTGGGTAGTTTGAGCCTGGTGAGGCTAAGTTACTTGATACGTACTTTGTTCTGGATGCGGTGGATAAAGTGAAGCTGATTCAGGAGAGGCTTCGCACAGCTCAGTTGAGACAGAAGAGTTACACGGATCAGAAGGCGCGTGATGTATCATTCATGATTGGGGAGAAGGTTGTCTTCAAAGTCTCGCCAATGAAGGGTGTCATAAGGTTTGGGAAGAAGGGCAAGATGAGCCCAAGGTTCATTCGTCCTTTTGAGGTGTTGAGTTGAGTGTGAGAGGTTGCCTATGAGCTTGCTTTGCCTCCTAGTTTATCAGGAGTTCATCCATTCTTTCATGTGTCGATGCTCCGGAAGTATCATGCCGACTTATCACATGTATTGGATTTCGGTACCATTCAGCTATATGAGAATTTAGGCTATGAGGAAGAGCCAGTTGCCATTGTAGACAGGCAGGATCGCCAATTGAGATCCAAGAGGATTTCCACGGTAAAGGTCCAGTGGAGGGGCCAACCGGTTAAGGAGGAGACATGGGAGTCCGAGGAGGACATGTAGAGCAGATATCCTCACTTGTTCAGCAGTTCAGGTACTTTTCTATGTCCGTTCGAGGACGAACGTTTGTTTAAGAGGGGGAGATTGTAACGACCTGACTGGTCATTTTACTGTTTGGGACCCCGTTCTATTAAATAAAACTCCCTGCACCTTCATTAGTTTAATTATGACTCGCGGGAGTGATTAGTTCGAGAGTTAGATGAGTTTTGGATAAGAAAAGAATCAAATATTCCTTAAGGTTTCCTTTTATAAGCTAGAATTGATTTCGGTCAACTTTCTTGGGAAACAGACCTGGATGCGTCATTTGACGGTCCCGGGAGGTCTGTAGGAAAATATGGGACCTCGGCGTATACTCGGAATCAAATTTCGAGGTCCCTAGCCTGAGTAATGAATTTTTATGTAAAATTGTTAATCTAAAGTTTCAAAGAATCAAAGAATCTAATTAACTATTAAAAACCTAGGTATCGGGTTCAAATTCCGATTCTGAAACTTGGTACAAGCCTGAAATATCATATAAGACCTACCCGTAAAGTTTGGTCTCAATCTGGATAGTATAAGGTCGTTTTGACCTGTTGGTTGGGAGTTAAGAACTTGAAGTTCAATAAATTTGATCAATTGGTTTTGGGGTTCGATTCCTTGGTTTAGCGTTGTTTTGGAAATTTCGGAGGTTCGACAAGGTCTGCCTTGTGATTTCAGACTTGTCGGTATGTTCGGGCGAGGCTCGGGAGCACCGAGCGTCAAATCGTCGAGGTTTGAGCGAAGTCGGATTTTTGAAAGAAGCAAGATTGTTGCTTCTATCATAACTGCTTCTGCTGCTTTTTGACCGCAGATGTGGTGACCGCATAAGCGGCCACTTGGTCACAGAAGCGGAAAGACCAAGGGGGCAGGGACCGCATAAGCGGCCCTGGGACCGCAGAAGCGGTCCTCGCTTAAGCGACCCATGGACCGCAGAAGCGGCCCAGCCTAGTTCTCCCCCAGACCACAAAAGCAGCCATCCTTCTGCCTTTGCGGGACCGTAGAAGCGGTCCCCTTGACCACAGAAGCGGAAACAGCTGGGGCAGAGGGGTTCATTTAATTCGAACCCCAAGCCATTTCTCTCACATTTCTTCATCTCTTGGGCGATTTTGGAGGGTTCAAAGAGAGAGTTTCAACACATCTTCACTAGGTAAGTAATTTCCACTCACTCTTAGCTTAAATACATGAACATCACATAGATTTAACACTAATAATCAAATAAAATCAAAGGTTAGAGCTAGACCTAGGGTTTTGGTAAAATTATGATTGAACCACCTAATTAGCTATGTAATGGACTAAAATTTAGATATTAGTAATCCTTAGGTTATAGAGAATATTTTCCTTCAAAAAATCTTGGAATTCGGGCACGTGGGCCCGGGGTCAGAATTTAGGAAACATGCGGGAATGGTGGGGAAATCATTTAATTAGTTGGAATTCAACTTTGTGAGCACTTATTGACTAGTTCTTGCTTTATTTAACTAGCTGGTGCTCGTTCGACTTCGAATTAGGGTTGAAGCCTAGTCTTGTCGATGAAGGAAACGCTTCGGAGCGAGGTGAGTCTCCTTTCTAACCTTGTATGAGGGAAATGTCCCATTAAAATTAATAAAATGTATAATCTATGCTAAATGCGTGATGCCACGTACAGACTAAGGTGACGAGAGTCCATGCGTGGCCATCACTATGTTGATTGTCCGGCTAGCTAGGACCCACATCATGCTTTATTTGTGATTAGTTATGTATCCTCATGCTAAGTTGATCGCCTAAAATATGTTAGAGATTGGAAGAGGAACAATGGTAAACTTGTACACTTGAACTTTGTATGTCATAATCGGATGCTTATTGCCTTCGTGTGTATTATTGATGCTTGCTTGTTATTTGTGGATCGGGCCGATCGCCTCGATATGAATAGATGCATCTATAGGCACGTCGTCGACCCTCGGCAAGTGCACATTTCATTATGTTGGTTCGGACCGTCGCCTCGGTAATATGTGCGCATGTTCACTTTTTGGAAACTTGTACTCTCATTGCGTGATATTATCATTGATTATGGAAATTGTACATCATAATAATGTAAACAGGTGACTTGTCTTTTCTACCATAAACTTGTTAACTTGTGACTCTCATACTCATGATTAATCTCCTATATTATTTGACCTTAGTAAGTATCGAGCTGACCTCTCGTCTCTACTTCTTCGAGATTAGACGGGATACTCACTGGGTACATGTTGTTTATGTAGTCATGCTACGCTTCTGTATTTTAATGTACAGGATCTGAGGTAGGTTGATCTGGTTACTACTCGAGCGCAGATCAGTGAGCTTTCCTTGGACTTTTAAGGTGAGCTGCATTCATTCGATGATGACTCGCAGCCATTGGAGCCATATCTGTATTTTTGGTTATTTCTGTCTATCCAGATTCAGACAGTAGAATAGTATATTATTCATTTGTATATTCCCTACTAGTTGCCCGTAGCTGTGACACCGGTTCTGGCACACACATTTTAGTAAACTACTTTTGGGATTGTAATATTATGTCTTTATATGTATTACTCTATCGGGTTCTGGAGACGCCTTTTTGGGATGTTTAGTTCCTTGTTAAACATGTTGATGCTGTTAAACTATTAAATGTTTTCATACTTGGCTTTCCCGGCATGGCGTTGGGCGCCATCATAACCCGTTATGAAAATGGGTCGTGACACAGGGTGCGGTCAAAACTTTTCAAAATGCTTCACACGGAATATGTGAATGGGCAAAAATCGCTCATTCACTCACTTATCTTTGCACGAAAACTCTTCGTGTTTCTGGACAAAGAGGGGCAGATGTGAGCACGTGATTTTTGCTCTAAGCAAGTTATTCCCAAAAGTCAAACAAATTGATTTTTCTCTATTTTTACAATTTTTGTGCAATTTTGTGTCATTTTCTGATAATTGTTGCATTTTATTTGTGCATATTAATTCATATAAAATACAAAAATACACATTTGCATGTAGGATTTAATTTTTCATTTTTATTATTAATTAGGGTATAATTTGTTTTAGAACAAAAATATGAAAAATCACAAAATTTAGTTCACGTTTGCATTTTAGTTATTTTTATTTGGAATTTGTCATAAAATAGTTTTACACAATTTTAGTAATTAGTTAGTCTTTGCTTTGAAGTGCATTAGGATTTTATGTTGATTTTTCATCTTTATAAAAAGTAGAAAAATTATAAAAATTACAAAATAGAACAAAAAAGAAATAAAAAAGAGAAAAACAAAAGAAAAGCAATTTGAAAAAATAAAAGAAAGGGTTGGTCTAAAGGAAGACTCGGATTTGGGCCGTTTTGAATTAACTACACCTCAGCACAATTCGAAATCATCCCAGGACCGGCCCAAAACAACCCCCTACCCCATCTGTTTCACAAGATACCAAACGACGCCGTATTGTTCCTTTCAATCCTGGCCATCGAGGTTATCAAATCTAACGGCTAGGAACTCATCCCTCTTTAATATATCAGTATCCGAACGTCCCCACCCTACCCCTCAGCGTCTCTCTCACAACCCCCTTCTCTTCAAACCCTAGAGACCGCCGCCCCAAATCCCCAAGCCGCTGGTGGCGGCGCCGCCTCCAAACCTGACCAAATTAAACCCCAATCTCCCCTCGTCCTCGTCTTCCCATATCTGCTAATGGCTTCTCTTGAATCAAAGCCAGGTTCATCGAATATCAAATCGAAAATTCGGCCAAAACACAAAATCGTCCAAATAATCCCAAATTGATAACAGACAGTCTCCTCGTCTTCCTCTTCACAAACCCGTGGTCAGTTTCCGCCGAAGTTCACCGGGCCATCTCAGAGTTCAAATCTAGGGTATGCGGGTTCAAATGGGTTTTGGGGGAATTTTCTTGGTTGAGTGTCCTTTATGGTAAGTTTTCTTTAAGGTTCTGATTTTATTTTTGTTTAGTATAGTTTAATTTCTCCTTCTCCTTCTTCTCCGTTCATTTAGCTTGATTTTTGGAAGCCGTTCATAGTTAACTCTGCTTTCTTACTTGTTGAGTTTAATTCTGTTATGATTAGCTTGATTTTTTGTTTTTATTCCTTAGTTGTTAGTTTAGTCCATTTCGATTAACAGTAGGATTTAAAAGCTTTGACTTATCGTTAGCTTAATTAGTTAGTCGGATTAGTTATTTATCGATCATATTTTAATGTCGTTCATAGATAATAATAGTTATTAGTTCGAATGGTTAGTATTAATGTTAGTTCATATTTGATGCCTCTTTTGATTGCCCTGTTTTTCTTTTTCTGATTGTTTATGATTCTAGGTTGGTTTAATGTTGACGACTGCTTTTGTCTGATTAATGGACTGTTAGAATTTGAATTAAGTTTTTTTGTTTTATGTTTAATCTTGATATCCTGCTTTAGGTTTGGACCTGGTTGGTTATAGTTGAACAATTCTTTCGTTTTAGTTAACCTTAGTTAGTTTTAGCTAAGGGGTAAGGGTTTGGTGTGGTTAGTTAAAGTCAGTAATTTCAGAGGGTTCACAAGGGCATTTTAGGGATAAAAAAGGGCAGGATCTTTAGGAATAGTAATTTTTAATGTAGGGAAGGGGTAGAATAGGAATTGTAATGGGTATAGGACCTTCTAGAATAGGGTACAAGTGTAGGTTTCAGCAATTTAGATGTATTTACTTGTTTAGCAAGTTAAAAACTGAGGGACCAAAATTGAAAATAAGTAGAAACTAATAGTGTAAATACAAATTCTAAGGGCTGCCATTATTTTGCCTATAAAAGGCAATGAATAGTGCCCGAGCAGGGGTCTTCTTCTTCAGCCAATTTTTTAGCTACCAAACCCTCTTTCCATTAGAATTTTTTATATTTGAAATAGCTTTCAAATACAAAAAACCAAAAAAAAAAAAAAACAAACAGAAAATACAATAGAAAATCCAAACACAAACACTGTTTCATTGCCTTTCTTCAGGTTATTTTCGAATTCTAGCTTTAATTCAACTTTCTAGCTCATTTCGAAACCAAAAATAGCTTGAGTTCTTTTGTTTCTATTCACTATTTGCAATCTGAAAGTGTTTGGAGTCGCTGGTATTGGTTTATTCGAGTTAGCTGGGGTTTTATTCACTGAGTGTGCTGTTCTCCTGGATTATTGCTGGTTCTTTGGTGCTATTTGGTTGATTTGTTGATCCTGTTTGGTTTTAAAGTGTTTCTGGATTCCTAAACTTATTCCTGGGCTGCTGTTGAGAGTTGTTATTGCTGCTAACCTTTTCCTCTTCTTATTGCTCTCTAATTTCCAGGTACACTTGTACACCCTTGGTTGATGAAATGAGATGAAGTTTAGATCAAGCCTCTTCTGATGCATTGCCTGTTTAGTAGTTAGACTGCAGTTATGGTCAGTTATGCCTAGCTGTTTAGTTTAATTTGACTGAGATTGATTTGAACTATTTCTAATTTATATGAACTGCCTAGAAATTGAATTGTAATGATGTAATTATATTAACTTGGGACTGCTTAAGCTTGTGGAACTGTGGAAATTTTTGTTGGCAACTGTTTCATGTATTGCATAGTCATTTAGTAACAGGTTTCCTTGATTGAAATCTGTTGAAATGATAAGGAATGACTGAGAAAGCAGAAGTTAGTATGCTGTAGTCAATAATTTGGTAGTTAAATAGTCCAAGTAACTTAGAAAAATGCAAAAACATGTTGTAGTAATTTCCAAATGCCCAGTTGTTGTTAAGAATTTGTTTAAATCATGTAGTTTATTTCTAGAAATGAATCCAGGCTATTAACTCGTTTATGCTAATAAGACTATTGCATTACCTAGTTTAAATCCTTTGCATTCCGTTTTGATCACATGCTTAGTCGTGAACAAGGTGTAAGCACGAGTGCTCAACATGATACTATTTTATCAATAAATAATCAAATATGGTTTTGTTTAATTTGTGCCATCTGGGCGTTAATTGGCTGGGGCCGCCTGGGTTGGCATTTGGGGGTTAATTTGTTCTATTGTTGGGGATCGATCTCCAGACCATCGTTCTGCTGCAACTGGGCGAAGCAAGCAGTCCAACTGTGACAATAGTACTAGGTTCGGCCTGCTTTCAAGCTGGGCTGATTCTGGGAACGACAATGTTCTTTTGTTGGGGCTGACTGCAATGCCATTTTCTGAAGGTTAATAGCGCAACAATAATTAATGAGAGGCTTTCATATTTTAGAAACATTAAGTAGAAAACTATATAGATTACATTAGGATTGCCCTGTTAAAAATGAAATGAGACGAGCCTCACCGAACAAAAATAAATGTGGGGCCCTTAATAATTGGTTACTAAAAATAATTAGAATTTGGAAGGGCCGTTTAGCAAATTTCAGGGGCCTTTCCCAAACTAATATTACGCTAGAACCTTTAAGCGTGATTTAATTAAATTACTTTCTTAAACTTGCGTGCGCATTGATGCGACCCAAATCCAAATCTCGACGAAGTCGAAATTTTTTGACGACCACGGGTGCCTTGATGGCGACGCGGTCAGAGATGAGTTTTCATGTCGTTGCAATTCTATTAAAATAAATAATGATGGAAAGCGGCTTATAAATAAAAGGCACATAAGCTAGCATGTATTAAAATCAGATAAAATCAAATACAACAGTTAAGCGACCGTTCTCGAACCACGGAACCCGAGAATACCTAATACCTTCTCCCGGGTTAATAGAATTCCTTATCATGATTTCTGGTTCGCAGACTGTAATACAGAGTCAATTCTTTCCTCGTTTCGGGATTCCATTGGTGACTTGGGACACCATAAATTTCCCAAGTGGTGACTCTGAATAATTAATAACTCAATCCCGTTCCGATTGTCCTTTAATTGGAAAAATTCCTTTACGCCCTTGCGGGTGTAGTGAAAAAAGAGGTGTGACAACCCTATTTTCAATGTCATCCCATAAAAGTAATAACAATCTTCCCTCTAAGAAGTATCCTACATAAACCCAAACTCTTAGGCAGGCTTGCAAAGTGGTCCATAGAGCTCAGTGAGCATGACATAACATATCATCCAAAAAGCGCCATCAAGTCACAGGTACTTACTGGCTTTGTCGTTGACTTTAGTACGGAGATATTACCAGAGGTGGAACAAGAGGCCCTCCGCACCTCCACCAGTACTGACCTCTTGACCTTCTCTAGTGACGGAGCCTCGAATGCCGCAGGATTAGGACTGGGACTCGTCCTCGAAGTCCCCAAAGGTGAAGTAATTTGCCAGTCCATACGATGTCCCGAGATGACTAACAACGAGGCGGGATATGAGGATGTGATTGCAAGTATGATATTAGCACTCAAGTATGGGCTCGGCGACATATCCTCCACTGCGACACTCAAATCGTCGCAAATCAAGTCACTAGGACTTACCAAATCAATGAACATAGACTACAGAAGTACAAATTAGAAATCCACATGCTAATACCCGAGTTCAACGAATGTCGCTTTGAGCAAATCCCTATAGCAGAAAACATCAAGGCAGATGGCCTAGCCAAGCTAGCCGCGGCCACCAAGAACATCAATAAAGAAAACATGGTTACCCTCCTCCATTCGATCGTCAACCACGTCGAGGCACTTTCTGATTTTGCTGAATAGCCTGATTAAACTCCTTTACTGGAGTGCTCTTGTTAGTAGCCATGTGCTGACTACCTTCTCCTTTATTTTTGGTTTGTTCCTTTTGCTCGGTAACTCTATCCTCGCCTTTTCTTTCTCTTGGTTCAACTAAATTAATGTTGGAGTTGTCTCGTGCTTTAATTCTGCATTGTTCCTCCTTATGTCCCTGGTGTTTATAGCATTTGCAATAATCCGGTACTCCTTCGTATACCAAAGTTTGCCAGTAACCATCTTCATCCCCTTCGTCATGATGCTTCTTTTCTTATGAAAAATCTCATATTAAGGGATAATTAAAGCATCTCTTGTTATGGACAATGGTTTTTTCTTACATTCTCTTCGAATATTTCATGTTATTTGTACATCATTCCCCTTTACAATTTTGAATTTAAGAAAATAGCTTATTTAGATCTCTTATGTGTAGAAAAAACAGATCTCTTACGTATAAAAGTAAATCTCTTACGCGTTTAAAAAAGATAACAACATGCTCAAAAGGGAAAACATTATCACAGCATTGTATAATTAACACAAATATTAAATGATGACTTAATTTTATTCATAACTTGTTACAACAAGCTCTAAAACTGCAAGAATATTAATACTATTACATCTTACAAGTACAAAGCTTCAGTGACCTTATCCATGGATGGCCTCACCTTTGTAGGAGCAGCACCTGCTGCAACCATAATAATTCCGGCGGCCGCAGCAACCATAATAATTCCGGCGGCCGCAGCAACCATAGCGGCAGTATCCTCCACCGCGTCCGCCACCTCCACGTCCACCACCACTGCGTCCTCCACCTCCACGTCCACCACCACCGCGTCCACCACCACCATGGCCACCACCTCCAGGGTATCCGCCACCAGGGTATCCACCACCACCGCCAGGGTATCCGCCGCCAGGGTTTCCACCACCACCGCCAGGGTATCCTCCACCGCCATATTCAGCTTCATGTACTTCATTCTTGCTATTGGATTTCTTTGCTGCATCAATTGTGAAAATTAGAATGTTGTTCCTAACTGTTTTATTCTTCTTCCCTTTTAGCTTTTTATTATGTGATCCTAGCACAGAACTAGAAAATATGTAATCCATAAAGTTTTTAAGATTTATGATTATATTTTAGAAGGTTTAAAATTTGTATATGCAAAATGTAAATATAATGGGGGTTTTCTGTCACGTCCCAAACTACCACTTAGACGTGACTGGCACCCAGCTAACACCACCTATCGGGCGAACCATACTATCTTACCTTAGCTATTAATTTGCAGCATTTGATTAATTAAATGAGTATCCAAATAATATAATACCTATTACGAATAATTAATATCTCAAAATATTAGATTAAAACTCTAGCCCAAACCCCACACTAGACCATGGAGCATCTAAGAGAATTACAAAAGACCTCATATGAATAAATGATAAAGACTCCTTGGACAGCCTCCACGAACAACGCGGCGGTTCACCTCAATAACTGAATCAACTCTAGCGAACTCGTCGGCTACTAGCTCCGTCTTTACCAATAGTATCTGCATGGACATGCAGGTAAGGAGTGAGTTATACGTAAATATAACCCAGTAAGATCATCAACCCGCCACTCTGAATACCTCTGGAACAAGTGTTAGAAAATACAAACACACAACGAGCACACAAATAATATGCACATAAATTCTATTATCATATAATTAGTCTATAAGGTGCAAATAATTATTCAACAACAATACTATATATATCTCAACACAATCTACACTAAGGACTTGTCATTAACGGCAGTGTAGGAAATTAACCAAACACCCCAACAAGTCAACGGCAGCATACACAATGCCCCAAATCTATCACGGCGGCATACACAATGCCCAAATCTATCACGGCGGCATACACAATGCCCCAAATATATAGCGGCGGCATACACAATGCCCCAAATCTATTACGGCAGCAAAAAAGTAATTTCTAACGCTCCAACGCCATAGCACAAGGCTACGCCACATCACACTACATTACACTACAAATCACTATTTAAATAATTTGAACTTTTTACCAAATAATATATATTTGCGGCTGGTCAAAGACCACCGATTCTGCCAAGCGCACGCTTGTCCCAACACATGGACCGGGCAGATAAAACATATTTCAAAACGGGTTTTGGAAAAGCAAGCATCAAAGCTTAAAGTCTCACTTACCTCGAAACAATAAGTTTTCCAGTCTTGTAACGTTAACAACACCAACCGGACAACCTCCAACTGCCTTAATATCAAAGGTTAGCTCCAATTCACTTCTTCCAGTTCTATGAGTCTTCAAAACCATATAATCTTAAAGGAAGCAAAACTGATGATTTTCGGTTTGTGCCTCAGGTGATCTCGATCTCCATGTCAGTCCCAATGTTTTATTCATATTGCCACAAATATCCAAAATATATCATAGGGATTTTTGTAGCATTCCCTTAAGTGTCCACTGTTCAAGAATTCAAATGTTTGGCACCATGAATTCACGTTCTTCATGGTTTCTGAAATTCCAACATAGCCTCGGATGCTTCTTGTTGAATTGCTCGACAAACAAAATAATACACTTTGTAATTCTTTAACCCTTCAAATAATGATTGTAAGACTAATATAAATCTATTAGCAATACTCCATACCCTCCAGCATTGCCGTCGTCGCAGATTTCCGAAGGGCACTCATCTGTGTGCCTTTTTTCTTAAATAAACCAAGTACATGTATTTATCCTACTCTTTACCCTAGACATCTCATGTGGCTAATAATAAATGGTAGGGCCTGGCCCATTCTTAACCAATGTAATTTGTTTTTTTTTTAAGTCTTTTAAATGGCTAACTAATTGTATATTTATAAATTCAACCCACTAGACATTTAAATAAATACTAACTCTCTTAGGCGTAGGTACTTACTAACTCTCTCTTTATTATAAAAATATCGGGTTATTACATTCTTCCCCACTTAAATTAGCGTTCGTCCTCGAACGATTTAGAAAATGTGCATGACTTTCTCCAAGAAAAGCGGGTACTTGATTTTCCTGTCTGCCTCGGACTCCCGCTTTGCTTACTTGTCCGGATGATTACGCCACAACACCTTCACTTAAGCAACCCTTTTTTTCTTTTGTAACACCCTCAATCATTTAGTTCTCTTTCTATGATCCCAATATAAAACTATAGATCTTGAATGTATTGTCGAGTACACATCTCCTCAAATCACCCACCACATGTGTACACACATTTGACCCTACTAGGCTTTGCCTTTAAAAGCCGACTACAATCCTCCAGTAAGATCGGGACTCTCATGATATTGAATGCTCAAATAAAGACGATTGTAATATCCCACATTTCAGGGGCTTAGCAGGCATAATGCCATCCATATGTCACCCTTAAGCTACGGTCTCTCCGTTCTTTAGTTGGATCCTTGAAATAGAAGCAAGAATTACAATTCTTGTGGTTATTCCACTTTTAATATGCAAGCACTTTGTGAAAAAATTAAGCCTTCAACCTCTCCTAAGAACTTTTTTTTTAGTTGTATTTGCTGCATTGGAAAAGGTTAATGCCATGTTCAACATTTCTTGATAATAATTCCTAGTGAAATGCTTGTCAATTAACCCAGAAACCTTTCTTTCTACAAAAAAAAAAAAAAAAAAAAAAAAAATAAAATAAAAATAAAGCATGACCCCCTAGCAAGGCATCATTAAAATCCCATATGGCTGGTCCTTTGTATTATTTAAATTTCATGGAGCTCGCATAATATACATGTAAACAATAGTTGAAGCTTACGTATAGTGCAAAAAAAATATATATATATTCAGAACTAGTCCAGACGTCGTTAACTTTGTGTATGACCCTTTTGACTACCTTTTGCCATCAATATTATCCACACATGTTCGATAGCTTGTTCAATAAGAGTAAACTAACCCTTCGGTTCAAAACCACAACTGGTACATCTGATTACTCTAGCCCTCTTTTTATTCTTATAGACAATGTCATCTCATTATTGTATTGCTCACGTTCTTCGACTTTAGGCTTTACCAAACACAACTTTATGTGTTAATAGAGTCGGTACAAACTAATTTCTTTTCCCGGGGATAGCCATATAATTTTATTTTAAGTACTCAAACTTTTTGTATGGTTCATCCATTTTTTATCATAGTGCGTGACAGTTTTAATACTCCATGTTTTGTCCTTACTTTAACAGCTACTAAGTTTCGTACTCAACTTCTTACTTTATTAGCGCATTAAGCCATATACTTAGGTCTTATACTCTCTCATAGGCTAGAATTCATCCACGGTCTATCATGAACATGTTGTGCATCACGTAATGCCCACTATTATACTCATACTCAATTAACTTGAATCATGTATACTCACGCCAAAGTTACACTTATAATATCACCTTCACAATATCACTAATAATAGCAAATCACTTCAAGAGACATTAACCATACATTATATAAGTATGTTCCTCAAAATGTCTTTCACTACTAAGTCTAACCGCGTAGACATGGTTAAGTTATTGTACTTTTTACTTTCATGTTTAACTCTTTCTCTCTTTCGATCAAACTTATGATGGAGAGTAGTGTCCACAATCTCAAATGTGGAAGAAATCACTCTCAGGCACAACAATATCTTTAGGCCACTTCACCATTCACACGGATTCTCAACGTTTAAAAAAGAAATTAGCTAACTCCCAAGCTTTTAAATATAATTTGACATAAGTCTCTTTCGAAATAAAATTATCCTAAAATTTATAAACTTTCCAATCCCAAAAAATTCTGATGCACATATTATCCCATGCACCTAAGGCAACTCATAATTTCATCACTACTTTCAAACTTTCAGTGTTATCCAACAGAGAAGGATATGTGTGTTCTACCATGCGAAAGAATATATTGTGGTTCAATTTGATTCAACTTAAGGCACGGATGAGGAATGAAAGAATGGGCAACATCCTAGATGTTCAGTAGCCTCAAGGTCATAAGCATGGACGTCTACATACCCATGAACAAGACTCTACCAAGCACTGCTCCATGACCCAGAACTTAAAGCCTACGCTCTGATACCAACTTTGTCACGTCCCAAACTACCACTTAGACGTGACTGGCACCCAGCTAACACCACCTACCGGGCGAACCATACTATCTTACCTTAGCTATTAATTTGCAGCATTTGATTAATTAAATGAGTATCCAAATAATATAATACCTATTACGAATAATTAATATCTCAAAATATTAGATTAAAACTCTAGCCCAAACCCCACACTAGACCATGGAGCATCTAAGAGAATTACAAAAGACCTCATATGAATAAATGATAAAGACTCCTTGGACAGCCTCCACGAACAACGCGGCGGTTCACCTCAATAACTGAATCAACTCTAGCGAACTCGTCGGCTACTAGCTCCGTCTTTACCAATAGTATCTGCATGGACATGCAGGTAAGGAGTGAGTTATACGTAAATATAACCCAGTAAGATCATCAACCCGCCACTCTGAATACCTCTGGAACAAGTGTTAGAAAATACAAACACACAACGAGCACACAAATAATATGCACATAAAATCTATTATCATATAATTAGTCTATAAGGTGCAAATAATTATTCAACAACAATACTATATATATCTCAACACAATCTACACTAAGGACTTGTCATTAACGGCAGTGTAGGAAATTAACCAAACACCCCAACAAGTCAACGGCAGCATACACAATGCCCCAAATCTATCACGGCGGCATACACAATGCCCAAATCTATCACGGCGGCATACACAATGCCCCAAATATATAGCGGCGGCATACACAATGCCCCAAATCTATTACGGCAGCAAAAAATAATTTCTAACGCTCCAACGCCATAGCACAAGGCTACGCCACATCACACTACATTACACTACAAATCACTATTTAAATAATTTAAACTTTTTACCAAATAATATATATTTGCGGCTGGTCAAAGACCACCGATTCTGCCAAGCGCAC